CAAGTTCTAAGACATTTATATTGAACTCTGTTTATTTTGTTTAGATTGGTATTACAAGAGGATCCGTATAAACAACATCCATAGTCAATGATAGAACGCACGTAGGCTCTATAAAACAATAAAGCTATACCAGGAGCTGCACCCCAACTTCGATTTGTTACACACCTAAGTAAATTGTAGCCTTTTTCACATTTGTTTATTAAGTGATTTATGTGGCTCGACCATAGTAATTTGGTGTCAACAATAATACCTAAATACTTATACTCTTTAACTACCGACAGGGTACGTCCACACAAAGTCAATTCCTCTGGAGCACGTAGTCTATGCCTGGTAAAAAACATGATAGAGCATTTGTCTGTTGAAAGAGTCATGCCTGTTTCTTCTGTCCATATACTTACCTTATGCATAATATTCTCGAGAGCCTCCGCGCATGCTTCATAACTGTTTTGGATGGTGTATATACAGATGTCATCTGCATATTGTATGCAATTTACGGAGTTATGAAATAATGAATGAATATTGGCAGAATATATATTAAATAGTATAGGGCTAAGTACTGATCCCTGTGGCAAGCCATGATAAACAATCCTTGGACCATGTAAAACATTTCTATGATCTCTAATATAGACATGTCTAGAAAAATATAGATGCAATATATTTAGAGCAGTCGTTTCACTAAGACCAATCCTAATCATTTTTTGTTTAAGTATATTAATATTTACAGAGTCGTAAGCCCCTTTTATATCTAGGAATAAACAAGCTAAATATTTGTTACCAGAAAAAGTAATTTGGATGTCATTTACTAAATGAGTTACTGCATCCAAAGTACCATATCCCCTTCTAAAACCGTATTGAGTATTAGGCAAGATATTGTTATACTCTATGTACCACTCCAGTCTTGTTTTTATCATTCTTTCAAATGTTTTAGTTATACATGACATTAAAGATATAGGGCGATAAGAAGAGGGTATATTTTTATCTTTAGTTGGTTTTAAAATTAAACAAATGGTAATTTGTTTAAGTTGTTCAACATAGTTTGCATTTACCCACCAATCATTGTATATATTTATTATAAATTCTTTAGCAACTTGGGGAAGATTTTTAATAATGTCATATGTAACAAAATCATTACCTGGAGCAGTACATCTAGAGGTCTTAATTGCAGCTTCAAATTCAGTTCTATCAAAAGGTGCATCCATATAGTGGCTGCCAATGTTCTCTTTCGGTCTTTCAAGCATATTTGGCACAAAACTAGGTGCTACAATATCAAAAACTTGGTTTATTAGTTCTTCAGATATAGTATGTTTTTTAAAAGTTGAGTTTTTGTTAGATATTTTTTTTATAAAACTCCAAATTTTTGATATTGGCGTATTTTTATTTAATTTATTAATAAAATTTTTCCAGCATAATTGTTGTTTTTGTTTAAAAAGTATTTTAGCTTTGGCCTGAATATGCTTAAATTTGAGATAATTTTCATAATTCGTGATATTTTTATAATCCAGATATGCATCTTTCCTATTATTAACAATTAAGGTGCATTCATTATCCCACCAAATAGGATTTGGAGGTTTTTTACTTTTACCTGAACGTGATTTCATTGACTTAGAAGCTGCATCATTTATTACTTTCATTAAAAATTCAAAGGAATTATTATCACTGTTATTATTATAAATTTGTGTTTCAATTAGGTTTTGAAAAAGCGTCCAGTCAGCTGTAGATTCAATCCATTTTCTAGAAGGTGTTTTGTTAGTGGGGATATATTCCCGAGATATATTAATATGGATAGGGAGATGGTCGGAACCAAGTGTATCATTTAGAGGATTCCACTCTGAGTAACTTAAAAGACTAGGTGAGATAAAAGTAAGATCTATGGCAGAAGGTCGTTCGTTGGGTCTGACTATCTTAGTAGGTCGACCGTCGTTTAAAATAATCAGGTTAGTTTCGTCAATAGCCTCTACAAGTCGATTTCCTTGTGAGTTATCTATTGTAGAACCCCAAAGGCTGTGATGACAGTTAAAGTCACCGCATATAATGACATCACCCTGTAATTGTGAAAAAAGATTACTCCAATCAGTCTTAGTTGCTTTTATTTTGGGAGATTTATAAATGGAAGCTAACGATATCTTAAATTCATCGATATATGCTGTGCATACTTCAATTTTGGAATTAAAGTTTTTACGGATTGAGATTTCATGATAGGTTAGGGTGTCTTTGATAAGTATAGCAGTGCCTCCAAATCCATCAGTTCTGTCTACATGTAGTATATTGTAAGTTGGTAAATGAAATATTTTCTTTTTAGATAACCAAGTTTCATTAAGTATAATTAAATCAAATTTAATAGAGTAATGGTTAAGAAAATTAACAAGATTAGCTTTATTTTTAGTAATGGAATTACAATTCCATTGCAATATATTTATCATCTACTTAATAATAATTTTCATCACTATCACTATCACTATATTGTATTGTACCTAATATTTTTTTGAGTTCTGTTTGTGTTTCCTGAATAACTAGTGGATCTGGGTTTACTAAATTAAATTTTTTAAACATATTTTCAAAAATACAAGGAAGTTTCTGCAGTATCTGTAATTCTAATTTTTCTTTGTATGACTGGAAGGCTTCCCTGTGTGGATTAGGAATAACAGGATCTGAAACGCTATTTTTAAGTTTAAATGAAGGAGGTTTATTGACTGACAGTGGCGAACTTACTTTGCGCTTTTTCGGTTGTTGGAAATGAGGACGTGGTACCCAATTTTTATTACTCGTGGAAGGGGAAATATTCGTATCAATATTACCGTTCAGCTCAGGGAAATTATTTAGGTTATTTAAAACATCGAAATTATTATTTGTTACTATTTTAGCATAAGACGGATTTCTTACAATACCTTCAGCTTCCTTAAATGATACATTTTTTTCAGACATGATTTTTTTAATTTTGAATTGTTCCTGGTATTTCGGGCAATTTTTTGATACAGACTGATGGTCATGAGTTTCACAGTATATGCAATAAGCATTAGCAGTGCAATTGATATCGTCATTTTCATCGTGGTTTTCGCCACATTTTTTACATTTAGTCACAGTGCTTTTGCAGTATTTTGCTGTATGACCATATCGAAGGCACTTATAACACTGTACGACAGGATATATGTATGGCTCAACAGCAAATCTTACCAAATCAATTTTAACAAATTTTGGCAAATTATTTCCTAAAAATGTTAACACTATCATCTGTCTTGGGACAAACTGTGTCTCATTATCGGAATCAATAATCCTACGTTTCATTCTTTTTACTTCTACAACTTTTTGCTCACTTTCAATATTCTCCAAAATATACTTTTCAGCCAAAAAAGTGTCAACCTCTCTAATAATTGCTTTTTTATGGTTAAAAAATATAGGTATATAAGCGATCAAATTATTATCTTTTATTAATTTATGTTCTATAATAGCATTTGCAATATTATAAGTCTTAAAAATAATTTTTACCTTATTTCTTCCAATCAATTTTATATCAATAACATCTTTATTAAAAGTAGAATGTTTAAATAGATAATGACCAACTTTAACCGCTGATAATCGACAATTTTTATCGACTGGTTCTACAACAATATAGTACGGTCCAGTGTCAGTCGAAGCATATTTGTTGTCTAAATTATATATCTTATTATCAATTTCCATTTCGTTTTGCCTACCGTTTCCATCTGGTGGGTCTTTTCCAGACGGGGGAGCACCCCCGTCGGAAGAGTTATTCATTATAAAATTATAAACTTGTACTTACCTTATCTATGAGTTTATGAAATAACAAACCAAAACAAACCTGCCTAAATTCGAGCAAAATGTAATTAAGCGCGCTTCACGAGCCAACCTTCTAGTTCGGAAGAAACACCAATACTGATTTCATAAAGGTGTTCTATATTATTTTATCAATGGATCGAACATTTTTAGAACTAAAACACTTAAACAATGCAAGTATTGGTTTACCTTAGGAATGGATGTTAAATCTTTGAATGTTTGTTTCTCAAAATACACTTTTAGCAGATATGCCCTTGTCCCAGCTACCGCCTCAATTGATTTGCATGCGGTATCTGAGTTCTTCACCCTACTCCTAGGGTTAGGGTGGGGGGAAACTTTAAAATCTTGAATAAGAACTCTTCTTTTTATTGAATATTTCTAGATCATTATATGCAAACATAAGTAACTTTTATTTAAGACATTTTTTCGAATTGTTGATATATGTCACAATAATCGAAAAAAAAAAACTATTTATCCTGATAAACTAGGAAAATTATGGAAACGGTCTAATATATCGAGAAATACACTGCTTAACAAAAGGTCAATGAGTACGTGTTTACTGTTTTTGAAAAATCGTATTTTCTCGAAATTTAAATAGAAATCACATTTTTTTATTGCAGATTTAGGTTCTGGAAAAAAATCATAAAAAAATGTATTCAGTACCATAATAATTAGTTTACAAACTTTAGATTTGAATAATATGTTTTTCTGTGTTTACAGCGTCATATATCGCAGATTGAAGATAACATTTTGATAAGACTTTTTCTTTTTTACCAAGAATCTGAATCTGCAATCAAAAATGTGGTTTTCCATTAAGATTTGAAAGTTGACCCCCACTCACCCAAGGGGTTGGTTTTTCATTAAAAAGTGTATTTTTCGAAATATTAGACCGTTTTCATAATTTTCCTATGGCATTTTCGATTATAGCGGCATCTGTCAACAATAAGAAAAATGTTCCTAATAAAAATTACTTATTTTGTTATGAGGAATTCATATTTGCAATAAAAAATGAAGTCACCCAAATACCTATATTTTCCTTTTTCCTAATGAGTTTTTATTTAGTTTTTTTTCTTGCCTTTTTATATTTACTGTCAAGCCTATTAGTTTACTATTTTATAATAAGCTTATAATAATATTGTTATTGTGAAACCTTAAAATGGGCTACAACGAAAAAATAACTGATGATAATAGGTGCCTCATATTAGACTTACCTCTTTGGTGTTTCTCCTGAGCAATCAGTTCTTTCATCTATGGTTATATTTATTTCTGATGTTTCCAAGAAATCGTTTGATAACATTGATTGATTGATTGATTCTTCTCTTTGTTCTCTTTCGATAACATCTGTATTAACAGTTTCAACTGTCTTCGACTCAACACTCTGAATAGTTACTCCTAAAACAGATTAGTAAAGTAACTCTCTCCAATATGTTATTAACTAAAAAACTTTAATATGAGTAAACACGTTGTAGTATTAAATAAAAACTGTCTTTTAAAAGGAAAAGATCCCTGCTCTGTACGGAAAAATGCGGTCTGTTTATAAATCAAGAAAATTCTTAAAAGTTATGTATCTGCTTGTAATGACGAATGGTGTGTTTTTGATCCATACTACAAAAATTAAAACATCTTCTTCTTCTTCGTCTAGCCATTCACGTCCACATCTGAACATAAGTCTCTTCAAGTCTTCCTTTCCATTGTTTTTTATTGTACGCTACTTGTAGCCAATTTTTCCCGGCAGTCCTTTTCAGATCATCTGTCCATTTCATAGGAGGTCTGCCTCTGGGTCTTTTGTGTTGGTATGGTCTCCAGGTTAAAATTGATCTGTGCCATTTGTTTAGATCGCTCCTAGCTACATGTCCAGCGTATTCCCATTTCAACTTTAATGATTTTTGCTCCACATCGGTGACTTTGGTTTTCTGTCTTATCCATGTGTTTGTTTTCTTGTCCTTAAGTGATATACCTAGCATTACTCTTTTCGTCGCGTGTTGAGTGACTCTAAGTATGTTCATATTCTTTTTTGTGATTGTCCATGTTTGTGCTGCATAAGTTAATATCGGAATAATGCATGCATCAAAAACTTTAGATCTAAGATGTAATTGAATTTGTTGATTTCTGAGTATATAGTTCAGTTTACCGAATGCTGCTCAAGCTAACTTTCTTCTTCTTTTTATTTCTTCAGTCTGAATTTCCCTATTTAGGATTATTTTTTGTCCCAAGTATATATTATATTCTTCAACTTTTTCTATAACTTTATCGTTTATTATTGTCACGGTGTCTTCGGAGTGCATGACTTTTGTTTTGTTTAAATTGTTTACAAAGTTCTCGAAAAATTTGTATAAATTGTATGAGGGTAGAATAGATTTTTAACGTTTTTTTTTGTGTTTTGCAGGTTTTGTGCAGAATTGCATTTATGTTGTTTTTAACAATTTTTTATATGAAATGTACCTATTTTTAAACATACATAATATAATATATTTGTTTGTATATGTTTAATTTTTTTTGGAATATGACTTTTAAAATTTTGTGTTATAAAACATGTTATCATTTTTTCTGTTATTGTTATAAATCCTACAGTTTGATTTTTTTTTTCACTTAATAAAAATGATATTACAATATTGTTCTGTTATTAAAAACTGTTTTGTTGCAATTTTTAGGTGGCAGATTGACAAAAACAGGTGATAGATTTTTAGCCAGGAGTCTGTCAGACTCATAGTCACAAAAACGGACAAAAGATGATAAAATTGGAGGTATTTCAGATCTAGAATTTTATAGTAATTATTGTATTACATTAAAGTGTGTTTTAGACGTTCAATGCATGTTATAATGAATAAATAAATAATAAAATAAAAATGGCAAATAATTAAATACATTTCAATTATTCCAAAAGTGACTAATAAGAATATTGTTTACATACACTACAAATACATTCTTTTGCATAATTTATAGGCCGTGAATTAAAAGTTACGAAACATATAATTCCAAGTAGGTGAAATATTCCCATTTTATAGTGCTCTTGGTTAGGAAAAAACAGAATATATTTTGGTTTCATCGAATTATGGGAAATTCATTGAGACTTGTATAAAACGAGGTAAACCGTTATGGATTTTAAACAGTACATTCCAGTACATACCAAACATGAAGTGTTTAATTATTGGTACAGTGCTTTGTATCTTAATTGCTGGCAATTTGTCGGCACCAGTCGAAGATGAACTTGAAACAAAAATAGATGAACTGTCCATAGAACGAGTTGTGAAAGAAGAAGGAACAAAAGTGGAAGCACCGGAGAAAGACAATATCGAGGAAGACGCTGAGAACGATAGTAAGTCTTATTTTTCTACTTTTTCATGCAACCTCAGATTTTCTATAATTAATTATCCTAAGGTTTCGTTTACATGGCAATATACTACACGATTTTTATAGTATTCGTTTCGGATATTACTGACCATCATGGCAATCTGTATTTTGCAAACGGATTTTTGCTCTACGGATTTTGGCCTGTTTAATTGCATTTCATTTCCTTTCCATAATCCCATAAACTTCCGTAATCCTTAAATCATTCTCGAAATTCTATAACCAACGCTTTCTAGGGCAGCTAGTGGTCTATTTTCGACCGACCTTTCATTTGGTGATCTTCTTCTTCTAATGGCGCTACAAACCTTTGTGAGTCTTGGCCTGCTAAACAATGTTCTTCCATTCTGCCCTGTCGGATACTTTCCTTAGCCACTGCCTGATGTTCATGGTTTTAATATCCCTCTCTACGTCGTCTATCCATCTTTTACGGGGTCTTCCACTTGTTCTGTTTACTTGGGGCTTCCATCTTTAGACTACTTTTACAGCTCGATTATCTGACATTCTTTCTAGGTCACTAAGCCAGTTTAGTCTTTGTGACTTTACAAATCTAACAATATCTGTGCTCAGCACTAGTTCATCCAGCTCGTGGTTCATTTTAATTTTCCACGAACCATCGCTGCATTGGATTGATCCAAATATGCTCTTTAGTATTTTGCACTCAAATATTCTCAGTTAATTTTCATCAGTAGTTGAGTGGGTCCACTATTTAATTACTGTTTTGTAGATTCTAAGCTTAGACTCACGATTTAACTTACTTTTCATTATTAAGTCTTTGTTTGCATAAAACCACTTATTACCGCTAAGAATCCGTGCTTGTATTTCATGACTGATGTTGTTGTTGTCATTTATTATTAAGCCTAGGTATGAAAAAGTGAAGGCATATTTATAGGCATGGTTGTCTACCTTCAGATTCTCATGTTGATTCGATTTTGTGCACTCCATATATTTTGTTTTGCTTTCTTTTATATATAAACCAGACGTAGCAGCTTCTCATTTCAGTTCTATAACTTTTTCTCTTAATACCCTTTTGTTGCGGCTTATTATGGCATGTATTTTTCATGCATACCTCTTAACATATGTATTTGGTCTATAGTTGACCTCTTTGGTCTGAAGCCACATTGGTATTCACCAATCATCTCCTCCGAAAACAATTCCAGGCGGCTGTATATAATTCCTGATAATATCTTGTAGATGACATTTAAAACGGAGTCGTTTGTCTCCCCCTTTGTACATAGGAAGTATGATTCCTACTTTCCAATCTTCTAGTGGTCATATGCGGTCGATTAGTTTTTGGATACAACTCCATAGCGCATGTCTAGTTAAATACAAGTCAACTCCATACCCTCAATCTTTATTAGTTCTGCAGTTATTCCGTTTGTGCAGGGTACTTTGTTATTTTTTAGATGTTTTATGACGTTTATCGTTTCTTCCAATGTTGGTTGCTCAACTAGTTGTTTTGCTGTGGGGTGAATTATTTCTTCATCTTCGTTTTGTTCCTTTTTTGGGTTTAACAGCTCTTGACAATGCTCCTTCCACCTTTTCATTATTTCCTCTTTCTCGCTGATAATTGCCCCATTTTTGTCCTTGCAAACTGTTGATCTTGTCATGTATCCTTGGGTGTATTGCTTGGTTTCCTTATTAAATTTTCTAGTCTCTCTTCTGTTATTATAACCTGTAATTTGTTGTATTTTTCTGTTCAACATTTCTCTCTTTTTGCTTCTACATATTTTCTTTGCATATTTTCTAACTTTTTCTTATGCCCTTCTATTCAATCGGGAATCCCTTTGTAAACGTTTCTGTCCAGCTATATTTTTGCTATTTATTACTTTTTGACAAGCTTGGTCAAACTATTTCTTGTTTCGTTTTCTTGAGGTTTCACCTAATGTTTCCTTTGCCGTATTTGTAATTAAACTTCGATAAAATGAAAGGCAGATATCGAGCACTGTTTTATTAATTAAATCTTGCCCAAGTACTTTCGCTTCCTAGAGCATCTTCAGGGGCATCTGAAATAAGCCAAGAAACGTTTTTTATATGAAGAAAATAATTAACTTCGACAAAAAACTCGAAGTTAATGGATGATAAAACTTTTTTGTGATTAACGTTTTAGACTTACTCCGTCAAATTTTGGGCTATCCAACAATTACAGAATGTCATAGACTTACAATTAAACAAACAATTCAACATTTTTAACATGTTTAGTTTCAAGCCTATGACATTCTGTAATTGTTACCGATAGCCCAAAATTTGACGAAGTAAGTTTAAAACGTAATTCACAAAAAAAAATTATCATCCATACTTCGAGTTTTTCTTACGTTTCTTGGCTTATTTCAGATGCTCCTGAAGGTGCTCTAGAAAGCGAAAGTACTTGGACAAGATTTAATTAGTAAAACAGTGCTCGAGGTCTGCATTTCATTTTATCAAAGTTCATTTATTCGAGCATTCAACCTTATATCAATCAATATTTGTAATTGTCGTTTGGATGGCATTCTTCTTCATCTTGTTTTGTTCTCCTCTTTCATTTAATATTACTTTTATTTTCTGCAGGTACTAATTCTTCTTTTTAGGATTTTTAAACATATATGTGTTCCATTTTATTTGTTAGGTGCCTTTTTTTTTCCTTACCATTGATATTCTTTGTTTTCTCCTCGATATAACCAAGAAATGGTCTGAATCGCAATTTGGTCGGACAGAATAACCAATGAAGAAGTACTAGGAAGAATAGAGTACAGGGAGATACTGGATTCCATCAAAATAAGAAAACTGCAATATCTGGGTCATATAACATGTGGTGACAGATATTAATTCCTAAAACTAATAATACAGAGAAAGATTCAATAAAAGCGCAGCATAGATAGAAGAAGAATGTCCTAGCTAAGAAACCGCAGAGAATGCTTGGGATTCAGCTCAACTAAACTCTTTCGGGCTGTAGTGTCAAAAGTTAGAATAACAGTGATGATTGCCAACCTTCGTCGCGTAGATGACACGTAAAGAAGAAGAAATCTGACTTCCATTTTGTGGTTTTGGTAGTTGTTCTTGATAGTTTT